AGAGAGAGTGGTGACACTCAGTTACTTGGTAAGTGTCATTTTAAAATGAAATTTAAAATTTAGAAGCATTGGCAAATTGTGGAGTGAGCATCACCTGAGATTCTCAAGTAATATGAACTAAATGATATGAATATACTAGAGCTTCCAAACTCATTCTATGAAGCTACCATCACCTTAATAACAAAAGCAGATAGGGACATAACACAAAAAGAAAACTATAGACCAATGGCCCTGATGAACACAAATGAAAAATCCTCAGCAAGATACTTGCAAATTGAATACAACAGCACATTAAAAAGATTATACACCATGACTGGGTAGACCTTATTCCAGAGATGCAAGGATAGTTCTAAATACACAAAATAATTAATGTAGTACATCATGTACCACTGGCACAAAAACAAATGTGGAGACCATTAATGCAGAAAAGAAAATCTAGAAATAAATCCTAAAACATAAAACAAACTAATTTTTTATAAAGGCCATGAGGTAACACAATAGTGAAAATAAAATTTTGCTGGGAATGGTATTTTTCAGCACATAGTGCTGGAAGAACTGAATATCCACCTGCAGTAAAATGAAACGAAACCCCTATCTCTTACCATGAACAAAACAACTTAAAATGGGACAAACATATAAATGTAAAGTTTCAAAGTGTAAAACTTCTGGTGGAAAATACAGGAAAGATATTTAGAGACAATGGAGAAGGCAAAAATTTCTTAAATAAAACCCCTAATATGCAGGCAGAAATTTCAGAAGTGCACAAATGAAATTATATCAAGCAAAAAATGTTCTACATGGGAAAGGAGACAATAATTACAGACAACCTTTAGAATGGGAGAAAAAATTGCAAACTATACTATAGTTAAAGAAAAGAATAGGTAACAAAAAGAAAAAGATAAAGTTATTGATTCAATTATTTTGTGCCTAAAAATTAAAGGAAGATAAAGGAAAGAAAACCAGAGTAGGAACTCAAGCAGCTCATTAACAAAAGAAGTGAATAATTCAATTAAAAATATACAAATCAGCTGGACAGATAGCTCTCCAAGGAAAACATATATATGGCCAAAATGCATTCAAAAAAATGATCAAGATTTCTTATAATAAGGGAAAGACAAATCAAAAACATAGTAAGTTACCACTCAACTCCAACCAAATAGCAATGATCCAAATATTATAAAATGACAGTTTCTGGCAAAGCTGTGGTGAAAAAGGAACCCTCCCATTACAGTTGGTGGGAATGTAAATTGGTACAGCCACTATGGAAAACAATATGGATTTTTCTCAAAAATCTACAAATAGAACTACCATGTGGCCCAGTAATCCCACTCCATGGTATTTACCAAAGGAAAGGAAACCACTCAGTCAGAAAGACATTTTGCATTCATGTTTATTGCAGCATTATTCCCAATTGCTAAGACATGGATACAACCTAAGTGTCCAAGAATAGATGACTGAATTTAAAAAATATTACACATGTACATTAGTGAAAACCACTCAACCATAAAGAAGAGCAAACTCTGTAATTGATACAAAGTAGATAAACATAAAAGAACTAATGCTAAGCAAAGTAAGCAAGATTATTAAAGATAAAAACTGCCTCTATTCAACATTTACCAAATGTATGCACTCTATGGAAAAAATGGAAAGATCTGAAGATATAATAGTAGGATCAATCTTGTATTCATTAAAAGCTGTCAGTCTCAGGACCAGCAGTTGGCACAATGGCTATGTTTCTGCACTCCCATGTAGTCAACCACAGTTCGAGTCCCAGACCCAGTGGCTAAAACTCACACCGGGCACATGTAAATGTATGCTCAAGATCCCGAGAGGAAAATGGAGGAGAAGGGATTGTGGTGTTGCCATCCTCCCTGGGAGGTGATTTTTTGCTTTCTGTCTCTCTGTCTTTCTGGTTAGTTAGTACATGTGCCCTATATAGCAAAAACCTCTCAAAAAAAAAAAAAAAAAAGCTGTCAATCTAAGAATCATTTAATTTTTCCTTTTTTTTTCTTTTTTTTTTTTTTTTTTTTTTTGCTATAGGCTCATGATCTCCCTGGAGAGAGAAAGTGAAAAAGTGAAAAGCAACCATGAGGATGACTTCTCACAATCCTTTCTCCTCCATTCTCCACTCAGGATTATGGGCACAGATGCACATGTTGCCAACATATTCTTTAAATTGAAGGTCCAGGACTTGAACAGTGCGGTTAGCCATCTGGGATTCAGTCACCTTAACCATGAAAACTATTGACTGGTTTGAAATCAGTTCTTTTTTATTCTGTAGCCATATTTTATTTTTTCTATGGGATTTGTGTATAAGAGATTTAATTTTAAAACTTGCTTTACAAATATTGTGTTGTATATATATATATATTAGCATTGGTGAAAGTTCTTTTCACATTTAAAGATTCTTAACCTTTGTTCTGATAGTAATTGGTACTTGCTTTCATTAGATATTTGGTTGGTTTTCCTTGATAGTACTTTCTTTTTCCTTTATTTTTTAAGCACAGAATAAGTGAATCAATAACTGAAACTTGATATATATCACCAATGCCAATGATTCTAGTTGTTAAGTGCATATTTATTGGGATTGGATTCTTTCCAATTCCAACTACGAATAGACATATTAAAAATTCAACTTTATGTGTAAGGCAAAATAATTACTATAAAAATAATTTCTCTCTTACCTATAATTGGAAAGAAATTGTGGAGAGCCTTTAAACATATTAGGCTTTCTAAAGCAGAATAAAATGCAACAGGATAAAGATTCCAATAACATAGGTAGCCATTTTTGCACACTGAATCATTTTGGAGATTGCATTTGTCATGTCCAGGAAAAAAGCTACAGACTCACTTTTGTACCCCTATTGTGCTTCAGCGAGGACACTTGTTCTGGATTAGCTAGTCACTGCCCCTCCTCCCTATAGGTTTTGAATTTGTAGAGAGGGACTCGAGAACAGAGATAAAAGTGAATTTTAGTTGCTAAGGCCGAACAAGTGGCAACATCAAGGTTTCAGGAAATGTATCCTGTATCCTCAATAATGGAATTATTTGGACCCTCCCCAGGGTCGCTGCTCATTTTTTGAGCTGATTTCTCCAAACTCTTAACCATTTTTATGTTAGAGCCAATTTATTTGGATACTGGCACGCAAGTTCAACTGCAGTAACGATACCCTCATCAAGCCTGTGTTGGGACATGTATGAACTATTAACTGGTTGCTTTACCGCCCCAGGGTCGCTGCTCATTTTTTGAGCTGATTTCTCCAAACTCTTAACCATTTTTATGTTAGAGCCAATATTTATTTAACGAATGTTTCCTGTTGCAACCAAGAACTCGGGCTTAGACACGAATACAAGGAAGATATTAGGAAAGAGAGACTCTAGTGGGAAACTATGGAGCTGAGTGCTGTGGACACGAAGAGAGGAGAGACAGTGCACAAGCACAAAGTGAAGTGCAATTCCAGATGCAGGAATAAGTGCTCCCATAGGAACTGGAGTTGACAGATAACTAGGTATGAACATTAAGATTTTTATTTAGTTTAATAAGAGTAGTTTCCCACTCTTGATCATAAGACAGGAGGGTTACGAGGCAACAGGCATTCTACACACCTAAAATTTCAAAGACAAAAAGTGGCTGAGGGACTGAGTCTAAAGCATTTGGAAATAAAGGGTGCCAGGAATGACTACTGCTTAACCTTTAGGCTCATCAGACTCTTTGTACCCTCATTGTGTGGTAGAAGCATAGTAGATTATATTTTCACCTGTGCCATGACAGTTGGAATAAGTATGGTAATTATTGTAACTACCCTATTAAGGCCAGAAAATAGTGACAATGATTCTAGAAAAACCACCCACTGTCCTTTTCCCAGAGAAATTATGAATAAAGAACCCTTTATGTAACCTAGCATTAAGTCAAGCCATATAAACCAGACACTCACCAATGCTCGGAGCTGCCTTGCCTATGTGATAGCCCTTTTATCTTTCTTTTTTGATAACGATTCTCTCCTTCCTCTCAGAGTCAGAAATGAAACTGTTCAGCTATCTCCTCTCACAGGGCTACTTCACCTATGGAGTGGTCCACTCTGTTCATTTTCCTTAAAGTAATTAAAGTTAATTTTTATATGAAATTTGTATATGAGAGACTTGACATAAAATCTCCATTTACAAACTGTTCTTCTTCAGTATGTTAGTGCTGTTCAAAGTTCCACCTATATTGAATAGATGTCCCAGTTGTTGTAGTGTGGTTGGCAGCATGGTGAATGGAGGGCTGAAAGTCACTTGGCCAGCCAAGTCAGCCTGAAACACACCAGGTATGCATGCATTCAAGATACTGATAAACTGGAGAGCTGGGGAGACTGTGGCTTGACTAGACTCTCCTGATAATGCTTCTCTCTCTCTCTTCTGTGTAAACATGTTCACAAAGTATCTTGAATAAAAGTAGAGGTATTTTATATTTATTGTTGAAATGATTAGAACTATCCTTTGCTAGAAATCTTACTAATTTTACTTGAAATTGCTCTGTTCTCCAAAGAATTTCATAATAAAAATGAACCTGACACTAACTTCATAAGTAACTGATGATGAAAACACTAAACTCGAAAATATTGAAAGAGATTTATTCTAAGGTACTGTGAGTGACCATATAATGGGAAACAGCTCTACTACTATCCACGGCATTATCCTCAAGGCCTTATCAGATGAACTTCACTGTTTTGGAAATAAATGCATTTACAAAGTCATATTTACAAACTTACAAATTGGAAAATATTATTTCTTTTTGCTCTATTATAGTAGAATGACAGTAACCCTTGATTAAAATGCCTTTAACTCTTGAAAAAAATATACAAATATTTAAGAAGTTTACTATGAACTAAAACCTTATGTCATTACAATGCCATAGCATTTGTTATTGTAAACACTTTTGAACACTAACTAAAGCAAAGATAACTGCAAAATTTTCTGTTTTACTAGAAATAAAAGAGATACTACTGTGCTTTCAAAATATTTTTCTTTAATTTTGATGTCAGTGAATCTATGACTTGCTTATTTCTCAGACTGTAGATAATTGGGTTCAACAAAGGAATGATGACCACATAAAATAAAGAGTCTGTCATATCTTTATCATCTGCTTCTGGTGATTGAGGCAACACATATATAAAAAAAAGAGGGCCATAGTATAAGAACACAGATGAGAGATGGGCTCCACAGGTGGAGAAGGCTTTCTTTATGCCTTTCAAAGACTTCTTTTTTAAGATGGAAACTAGAACAAGTGAATAAGAGACAAGAATAGTTGTAATGGTAAGCATCTGGAATGTACCAGCAAAGATAAAAATTACTAAAAAATTAATAGAAGGATCAACACAGGAAATCTTTAGTAACGGGATAATGTCACAGTAAAAGTGATGTATTATGTTGGAATTACAGAAGGTTAATCGAAATAAAAGCCCTCCATGAAGCAAAGCATGAAGAAATCCACACATAAATGACAATAATATCAACCGGATGCATAGTCTGTTGGTCATAATCACGGGATAAAGTAAGGGTTTGCATATGGCTACATAGCGATCATATGCCATTGCTGACAAGAGGAAACATTCTGTGCTTACAGTGATTGCAAAGGAGAAAAATTGTATCATGCATTCAGAGAGAGAGATGATCTTACTCTGAGCTAAGAAGTTGATCAAGATCTTTGGAGTGACTGTGGATGACATCCAAGTATCCACAAAGGCTAAATTCCCAAGGAATAAGTACATGGGGATGTGAAGGTGAGGGTCATTCCAGATGAGAGCAATCAGACCAAGGTTCCACACGATGGTGATGAGATATATGACCAAAAATGCCAGGAAAAGGGGGATTTTCCACTCTGGCTGATACCTTAATCCTGTGAGAACAAACTCTGTCAGCAATGTTGCATTTTCCTTTTCCATGTTCTTATTAGACGTCTCCTGAAATGAAAGGCAGTAAATAACAAAAAAGCATTTACTATGTAACAAATGAGTTGAAAGGTAGAGGAGTGTTAGAAACAATGTACTTATAACAGCCCTCTTAATTTTATGTATTTCTACATGATATATGAAATCAATACTTAGGGAATTTATGAGGCAAGAAAGTGCAATGATTTTATAAAAAATGTTTGCAAGAATTGGTAGATTTAGAGAAAATGGTTTACATTATAAACATGGGCTGAATGTGGTAAACTGCAAATTCACACAAGAAAAAAATAATTTTGTGTCAGACATTAATACAGGTTCATGGGAGAAAATATTTGAAGAACTAGTATTGTAAAAAAAAAAATCAAAGCCATGTGATAATTTTTAAATGTTATCCCTTTGCCAATAGGCATTCACCAAAAACTTTTAAGATGAGAGACTAACAATGTATGACAGATTTTAAAATTAAGCTTTTTTTATTATTATTTTTTTTTTTGTAGGGGTTGGGGGAAACTGCATGCAGGGTCAGAAGTTGGTGTGGAAGTTAGGGCCTCTGGATCCCACTGGCCAGTTGCAGGATTTTAGTCTCAGACCTGGCACCTGGCAGCTTGAAAGACACATGTATATGTGTGCCCAAACTCTGAGAGGGGAATGAAGGGATTTCTGCATGGTCACCCCTCCTGGGGGGAGATTTCTCACTTTTCCTCTCTGTTTCTCTCTCTCTCTCTTTCTCTCTCTCTCTGTCTCTCTTTCTCTCTCACACATGTACCCTATAGCAAACTATAAGGCTAGAAAAAAAGTAAAAACACAGCATCTAAATTGGGTGAATACGAGTTGGGAATACTAATCAGGAAGTTGCTATTACTGACCAATATTTCCAAACCAGATTACAAGCCAGAGTTCTCTGGAAGAACTATTTGTAAAATATATACATTTTAAGGTGAAGTACAAGGGGAGAAAACATTAGAGAGAAAAATGCAAAAAGTAAAAAAAGAAAGAAAAAAGAGAAAATAGAAAATAGAATGTATTAAATTTTTTACTCTTAAGTCCTTGTGGACTTTTTCCCTCCTATGTATACGTTTTCTCTAACCAAGTCGTAACTACTATTGTGGTATCAATATATATATTTAAAATTGTTCATTTATTTCTTTCATGAGAGAAAAAAAGAGAGAGAAAGAGCAATAGGCACCCTCAACAAGGTCCTCATGCCTCAGTTCACCTCTAGTCCCAGCCAGCCTGGATCACAGACGTGCATATTCATATCCAGAGTATCGAGGGAGGTCCCAGGACCCAAGGCCAAGACCTTTCCATGTGGGTCAAGTTACACTATACTTCACCACTACTTTCCCCCCAATTTAAAAAAATTAAGTTAATACTGGAGAAGTAGAAACACTTGTTCAAGACTAAGAACTAAAAATCTGTATTTTAAAAATGTTTCTCAGGTGACTCAAAGGCATGTTACATGATAAGCCCATCTGGGATATGACATTGACATAATGAGGATGGTAAAAGCGAATTTCACCCTTTTAGAACTCAAAAGGTAGGTCACTATGATTTAGACATATTGGATATGACCATGGTGATCATTGACTAAAAGAGGAGCAACCTGAATACTGGGGAGATATACATTGATAAAATTTGATACTGGAGCTGGCCTCTAGTATACTTGGTAAGGGTACTGGATTCCCCATGATTGTCCATGTTTCAAGTCCCAGCTTTGTGGCTTAAAAACATTTCAGCATGAGTGCATATGTGCACGAATTCCTAAAGGAATGAACAAAGAGTAGGAAAAGGATGGCCGCAAGACCACATCCATTGGGGCAGGTACTTTCTTCTTTTTTCTCTCTCTGGCACGTGTTTGTACCAAAGGCAATTTAGAAACAAATGAACTAGAAACAGCTGTGCTAACAAGTGTGGAGTGAGCATCATCTGAACAATCAGGTCAGATATATTCAGCAATGATGGTCTTAAACCTTATGCTGATTAAACGTTGCGAACCTTAGAATCACTTCCTTTTTAAAAAAATTTGATATTAAAAATGTTTGAATAGGTTTTGTGTATGAAAGAGATTTGATTTTAAATTTTGCTTGGTAAATATTGTATCATTCGGGCCCAGCAAGTTGAGTGGTGTTTGAGGCACTGGTCTCCCACATGGCTGACCATGGTTCAAGTCCCAGACTTGGTGGTTTTCTTTCTCACTCTTCCTTTCTCTCTCTCTGGTCAAACTAAAAAATAATAATAGCAAATTTTTAAAATTATATAAATAATTCTTTAAAAATATTGTATCATTATGGCTTGAGAAATGGGAATCACAGAATGATGAGATGCCGTTGAGTATACTTCTGTCTCTCTGTCACTCATGCACACAGGAACTATCTAAATACATACCTACTTATATACATATATACACACATAAACATACATATCTATATTTATCTAGATATATGGAGAGAGATATATATCTATACCTATATATACACATACACACATATACATATATGTGTATACATACACACACATACACCCATATACACATATGTATACATTTAAGTAACAAAGTTTTTTAAAATATTAGTTTTGTATTTATTTATAAACAAATGAAGAGATAAACAGGAGTAAATGATACAGAGGCACATCTTTGCCAACATGATCTTGAATTCAGCGATGCATCCCTAACCTAAGTCAGCCCAAAGTCAGGGCCATGTGTAAGTTCGGCATACTCATGGAGGTGTCTACACACAAACCCAAACTCTTCCCATGTCTGCCAGCCTCATAAAATGTCGTGTTTTACTACTGTGCTGCCACACAGCCCCTTGAAGGTATTAATCAAATATTGTGATTAATGAAAAAAAATGGGTCTTTTATCAAAATCATCAAAAATAAGGCTGTGTATGTTTCTGACCTAAATCTTTAAACTGGCTATTAGTGTTTAATGTGCTAGTTCACCACAAGTTATCCTATAAATTATTATACTTAAGCTAATGAAATATTAAAATGTCACTAAAGGAACAAGTCAGTCTTTCCACTGTACTTATCCATATTGTACTGATGAAAATAAATTATAGAGACAAGCAGTAACAGGTCTCCAATGTCAACGTAACTATCTTGAAAGTTTGAAGTCCAGTTTAAGATTAAAACATACAACATTTAAAAATAAAGCATAGTGATTATCATACAAGTAATTTCTCTCTTACCCATATCTTCAAAGAAATTATGGAGGTCCTAAAAAAGTAGTAAGCTTTCTAAACTAAATTACAGTACAATAGAATACCAATAATACAGGTAGCCATTCTTTGTGCACTGAATAATTTTGGAGGCTTCATTTCCCAAGCTCAAGGAAATGTTGCTCATATAGATTTGCTTAAGCACAAGAAGAAACAATTGTACAAGGGTGTGCTTTTGCCAGAAGAGGAAAGACTGACTGAAATTCCCTAAGAGTGCTGGAGGAGTCACTGTAGGACAGAGTGAAGCTGTTCCACTGGGCATTGTTATTTGTTTGAGAAGTCCAGGTTTTCCCCAAAGGCATAAAAACCATTCTGGAATCACAAACACCATTTTACTGTAGACAGTTCTAAATTTTAACAGTTGAAATAACACTTTATGCCAATATTATCCACCACAGGTGACGCATCTGACATTTATGAAAACTTTATTTTATATATGTTTAACTTTATTCCACTACTATCAGTAAATACCTGAGTTAGGAAATTATTTAAACCACTGGATTTTTTTTTCAGGTTCAATTCAAGAATTCACTGTTTTGATTGTACTAGTCTCTTATACATTTATCTTTACAATCATAAAAAAAATATGGGGAAAGGGATAAGAAAAATGTCACCATCTTATCTTAAATACTATAATGTAAAATTGGAAATATTTAAATGCTAATATATATCAGTGCATCTTATGTCCTATGATGAAGGAAAAAGATAGGAAAGTAAAGAAAAACATGGCTTAATGTGTATATAACTTGTTGAAATCTAATTAACAAAATAAGCAGGACATACTTATGACAATTATAGTCCTTATTTCTACAACTGGTCCTGAAGTCATAGGTACTATTTATAAATATCTTCTACTTTGACTCATTCAGTCATCTTTTTTCTTCAGAAATCACTTTGGAAGGGTTTTGTTCTTCTTTTTTCAGGAGGCAGAGGGTTTAATTCATGTGTGGTCTGAATCATTTATAATCCTGCTTGGTTTGAATTGATGGGGGTTTCCATTGACTTTAATCACAGGCATATTGACACCTCTCAGACGCATTGAGAGTAGAGGGAATGTATGAATCCAGAGAAAGTATCTGTTCCGCATGAGAAAATACTGCCTTTTTTATGATGAAAGCATCCCATTGTAATCAATCTGCTATTGGTTGAACAATTACATACTGGGGGGCTCAGTGTTGGTCTCTTGTGCTGATAAATAGGCTCTTAACAGGGGCCCCGAACAGGTCAGTTTTGGAGAAAGGTCAATTCATGCTGCAAAGCCCATGCATGATGATCATCTCTACCAATATGGTCATTTTGTCCATGAGCCCATTAGTATTTACAATGGTGAGTTGAGAAGGAAGCCAACAGGTGGCCACAGGTCAATCATGTTATCCTCTTAATTATTAATGTCATTATCATTTGAAATTATCATTCACTTAACATCATATGGGCTAAAACGATCTCCATGATTTTTCACAATCACACATATCTATACAAATAATTTACTATAAGTTTTTTATCAACGATTTTCCAATCCAGTTCGTTACAGGTCATATCGAGCAAAGCCATTGACCTCGGCTCATAATCAGTATATTATCATATACCTGACCCATTCTTCTAAACAAAATGAATTAAAAAATGTACAAATCAAAGTTTTGTACTATGACAGGAATTAATTTCACTACTGCCTTTTAGGGATGTCAGAGAAAAAAGGCAGTAGTGCTGCATCAATCAACCTCTGAGTGGTGCCTGAATACTCAGAGACCATCTGTACACAGGTCCATATTTTCTTTCCAGTGTCAATGGATT